TCGGACCACGAACTCTAATGAATTTAATAAGTAAAATGAAGTATATCTTCACGAAAGCTTTCCATGGCCAGTTCATTCGTCGCCGAGAATCGAATAGATTACAAGATATTTGAAAAATGGCAAAACGGAGGGAAAATTCGAATGGTGGGTTTGAGATGGGAAGTTGGTGTCCGAGTGGATCGAAGTCACGAGAGCTCAAGTGGTAGAGCAGGGTGTATTTAGCCGAGGGTCGTGGGTTCGAATCCCGCTCGTGGCACTGTCTTTTTTATCTCAACCAAGACCTTACATAGAAAGAATAATCAATTAAAAATTGTTATTGTTATTGGATCCAGATGTAAATCTAGACAATAAATTTTCTCTCCATTATATTTTTTCTATTTTTTAACTAAACAATACAATCGATCAATTAATCTAATATAGAGTCTTGTTTGCGTATTTTGTTTTGCGAATAATCTGTCATGAGCATCATTCCCTTTCATGAAGTTTAAAGCTCCGACTAACGCTCCCTATTTATCGAAATATTCAGGGATCATTACATTGAATCGTTGTTTTGTCGGTATGAAAAAGCTATGAAAGGGTTTACATGGTAAATGCAGGCAAAATGATACCTGTTTTATTTATAGATCTTACGATCTTTGTATAAATAAAATAGGGTTTTTAACCCAGGCATTGATTTTCCGAAATAGACCGTCAAATTTGGCCGAGTATTCTACAAAGACTGCCAAATGTTGCCAACAGTACTGACGCTTCTGTTAATTAAAGGTGTGTTAATCAGTTCGTTGGACGTTTTTCAGACCTTTTATCCAAAATCAGGTTGGTGTAAAGTGAGCACCTAGGGTTATAAAACCGCCTTATCGCTTATCAAACCGAAAAAGGTAATATTTATTTGCAGAGACCGAAGATTTTTCAAAGTTAACTCACGTTTGCGCGGGACGTTTTTCCGTATACACTCGGCTTCTTTGTTTTCCATTTTCGTCTCCTCGAAGGACGAGGTGTCCAATACCAAAATAAGCTGAGATACAAAATAAAATAAACATCATTGAAGTCGAGCGAGCTTCCGAAAATGTCCATTAACAGCATTATCTCGGGCGTTTTAGATTTCGTCAATTATATAAACAAACGTTTCTCGTAATATAAAACTTGACAATAATTCAAAACCCAAATATATGAACTATATTTGTTATGTACTGGCAACTTTTGCATTCGTCTTTCATATTTCAGTTGTTTTTTTGTCATGTTAGCCATATTTCCGTTGGTCAAATTTTGCTCTTGTTGCGGACATTTCAGATGGTCAATTTTTCTCTTTTTGTGCGTACTTCAGATTGCTCTAGTTATGCATATTTCATTTGGTCAATTGTTGCTCTTGTTGTGTATATTTCAGAGAGTTAGTTTTTGTTCTTGTTTTTGAACATTTCAGTTAGTTAATTTTTATTTTTGATGTGCATATTTCATTTCGTCAATTATTGCTCTTGTTTTGGGCATTTTTGTTAGCCAATCTTTTTTCTTGTTGTGCTTACTTCAGGTGGTTAAGTTTTGCTCTTGTTGTGCAAATTTCAGTTGGTTTATTTTTGCTCTTATTATGGGCATTTTTGTTCTTGTTGTGCATACTTCAGGTGATTAATCTTTGCTCTTGTTGTACACATTTCAGATGGTTAATTTTCGCACGTGTTTTGATATTTCAGTTGGTTTCTTTTTGCTCTTGTTATCCATATTTCATTTCGTCAATTATAGCTCTTGTTATGGGTATTTTTATTGGTCAATTGTTGCTATGGTTGAGTATATTTCGGAAAGTGAGTTTTGTTCCTGTTTTTGCACATTTCAATTGGTTTATTTTTGCTCTTGTTGTGAATATTTCAGATGGTCGATTTCGCGTTTGTTTTGCTATCGACAATTCTTATTTTTATTTTTCTACTAGCAGTGATATTAGACTCGACTTTTGGCATGCGTGACAATAATTATTTCCTATTTTCCCCATTTTACCAAAGTTGAAACCAGTTCAAGACGTTAGCCTTTTTCAAAAGTTGTGCGCCTTACGCTCCGAGTTGGGCCATGAATAATTAACTCGACAAGTACGCGATCGGGGTTGCTGAATATTTCAAAACTGTAAAATTCAAACGCAATTTATTACTGTAGGATCTGAGCGTTAAATTAAATTTGTTGCCGATTTTTCTAAAAACATTTTCTAACCCTTATTTTAATAAATTTGTAATGATTTGTGATTATGATTTTTATTTCATTTTACACCTATAATTTCTTAACCCGCTCGACTCTGTATATAAAATTTCAATATTATAAAATTTCAACTCCGAAGGGAATAAATTATTATATTGCTCTTCCTGCCACACTTAATAACGTAGGTATGGATAATCCTGAAGGACACATCGATAGAAAAGAAAATTTCAATATTATACAGTTTATTACTTACTAGAAAAAGCTGTAAATAAAGAATGTTATATGGAAAAAACAACTCGCTATGTCAACGAAAAATTCATCAAAATGCGTCTCTTGTCTAGTTCCGAAAGTCAAATCGCGAAAATGTACGGGCATCAGGTTTAAACAACGTGGTAAAGTTTTTTTACAATACTACTAAGTATCAAGTATTAAAAATGTCCAAATGTAAAACAACATATATTGTATTTTAAGTTTTTATCTTAATCAAACCCGATTCGACGGAAATTCCATATACAGCGAGAACCAACGGATGATCAGATAGGATAATACTGACAAATAAAACTATTAGCTATGTTTTTAATGATCAACGATAGAAATAGTAGAACATTATTTCTTGAAATAGTGGTAAATCACTTTTACTAACGAAACTTTTTTCGTACATAAGATTTTTATTATTATCTTCTTTGAACAGACTACCAACGATAATTTATGGATCATGGATTTAAACTACTTAGTCAATTTTGTATAATTGAAATATTATTATTAACATAAGGTAAATATACAGTTTTCTCAATGCCCATGGTACAGTTAAAACATTGATATGACTGATTTTTGAACTGTTTTGAATATACCAAAGTACTTTAATCCTGTATTAATTATTATTTATTAATCTTTAATTAAAGTATCTAAAATTAAATCATATCTAAAATTTTCATTCTTGGTTTCTCGAAAAGACTAACGAGCGAGAACGCACGGACCTCGGATTTAAACTGTTCAGTCAAGTTTGTGCACTTTTATAAATGTAAATTATCGAGTTGTCTAAATACTCGCGGGTTGTCTAAATTACAAAGAATAATTAACCTTACAAACTAGCAGAAGAAAACACAGCGAGAAAAGCGGACCGGGATGATTATACGACCAAATTGGCAAATAAAACTATTAGAACTGTTACTTTGAACGATCAACGATAGGACATCCGTGTAAAACATTTTTGCTACCGTACCTAAGGTTATCAAGCGAGAACGGACGGACCACAGATTTGAGCTGTTTAATTATGTCTGTGAACTTACATAAATAAATATTGGACCACTTGTTGCATGTTTTGATGACCCATTTCGACCTTTTTGACTTCAGAGGAAATAGAGCGAGAACAAGCAGCAGAACAGAATAATCAGCTATCAAACTGTCAAATAAAGCTATTAGAACTGGTGTTTTGAACGATCAATGATAAAAATTGTACAGCACCTATTTAATTTTTTTTTATCGTACCTAAGATTGTCATGATTTGGTTCTAGAAAATATTAATAAAAAAGAAGGCACGAATAACGGATTGCATGTTTAGTCAAAATTTTAAATTTTCGTAAACGTTAAATATCCAGTCTTCCACGTTTTCACGGGACAATCAAAGTTAAATTGACGTTACCAACCAGCAGAAGAAAATATAACGAGAACAAGCGGACCAGGATGATCAGATACGATCAAACTATGAGCCCTGTTTTTACCATGAACGCAGGGATCACGGATTTAAACTGCTTAACGAAGTCGGTGAATTTATATAGACATAAATTATCCAGTTTTCTAAATTTTCACGGAACAACCAAATTAACCAGCAGAAGAAAATATAGTGAGAACAAGCAGACTAGAGTGTTCAGATATGGTCAGACTGGCAAATAAAACTGTTACAACTAGTGAACTGGTAAATGATAGAAATTGTACAGCATCCGTGTAAAATCTTTTGGCTACTACCTAAGAAGTTCATGAATGGTTTCTCGAAGATACTATCAATAACCACCACGGATTTAAACTGTTTAGCCAAGTTTGTGAACTTAACTTTAAATGAATAATGGTCCGCGTGTTCCAAATTTTAATGACACATTTCGCCCTTTTTCACGGCAGAGGAAATATAGCGAGAACAGGCGGATCAGGATAATCAAACAAGAGCAATCACACAAATAAGCAACATATAATTTTCTTTTTTCTTTTTTTATAATAAACAAGACTAATAAATTTTTGAAACAAAGAAAAACATTGCAGCAAAACAATAAATAAATAAAGGCTCGAATGTATAAGGATAAAATGACTAGTTTCTGGAGAAAAGTTGGTATATTGAAAACACATTCCTTTATTATGTCTAGATAATGAAATTTTTCTGTGTGTAAATTAAGTATTGGTGTCAGAACTATTGAGAGCTGAGGTAATCATTAAATTTCACGAAAGGTATATATTTTAAAAAAATAACGTAGGTAAGAGGTTTTTTTGCAGTTGTTATGTTTCTATTAGACGCCAATTAGATAGGAATAGTGCCCATCGATTGAAAAAATATTGTCGGTTGGGTAATAATGGTAAGAGATCTATATTTTTATATTCGAAAAATGTTTAAATATTAATGTAAGAGTTTGTGAGGTCTATTGTTTTTAAAAATTAAAAAATAAAGATTTTTATCTAGAATTTTTCCTATTTACATGAAAACACAGTACATAGAAAAGACGATAAAGAAAACATATTATCATTTTCCCCCTCGGGAAAATTTCCGTAATGGCCCAGCGTATTTTTCCCATTTCCCATATCTCATCGGGCCGCGGCACGTGTGAACCGGCCGTGGTACTCACCTCGTTGAGGAAGCGATGCCGTCAAGGTAAAAATGGGTCAGGAGTGCTAATGAGAAAGATCCTGTGGGAAACGACCGAACAGTTTGCCGGGCGACGTCGGACTGCCGGCGGGCCCCACACCGCTAGCCACCACAGCCCCGCAGCTTCCCTCTCCCCGGCCAGGGTGGATGCAACAGGTCCTGGGATGCTGTTGCTTCCAGCAAGACGTTCCTCATTTTTCAGCACTTTCCGAGGCCTCCAATTAACTATTATTCTATACAAATCCAATAACTGAAATTGAAAAAACATTTCGAATTTGTTACGATCTCTAAAGAAATAACGTTTTATGTCAAAAAAGAAGTTTAAATAATCTTCAATGAGTGGAGAAAATTAGGCCTTACAGCGGCAAAACTGAAGCTAATTTGTTTTGTAGGCGTAGACTAAACCATTATGTGATGGTTGGTAACGAGGTCATTCCATAGTTAAACAATACCTTAGACAATAGGCTAATTTTTGTGTTTCTAAGTCCAGCCGCTCTAAAATAAACTATTACCTATCTTCGTACAAAAAAATGAAATTAGATTAAAACTAAATTTTATTCTGGTACTTAAAGTCCTCTTGAAAAATTAAATTTTAATACAACATATCTACAAAGATTCCAGCCTGATAGAGATATATAAAAATGTACATTTACAAGAGCACATACATAATTTTAAAATGTTCTAAGATAGTAGGTAGAAATTCATTTCCTACCCATCATCTTATTATGGAGTTCCAAAAAATCAGGATAGACACCATCAAAAAAATGAAAATGTTTTAGTATAGAAATTAAAGAAGCATTTAAAAATCTTCGGAGCCAAATTGTAAGGAATTAAAAAAAGGGTTTGAAAGGCCGAAAAGGAATACGCGAATAGAGTGAGGAAGGGCATTCGATAGGTTGGAGGCACGGATAAGGAAGGAACGACTGAGCGCAATAATTCTATGTTTAGGCGGATAGAAGTCAGAAAGTTTGAGGGACTGTAGAGAATATCTGAAAGTAAGGAGATCATGTATGTAGAGATGGGAATGGGAAGATATCATGGGATGCTGTTGCTTCCAGCAGCCGTTCTTCATTTTTCCGCACTTACCGAGGCCACCAATTATCTATATTCTGTACAAATCCAATAACTGAAATTTGTTACGATCTCTAAAGAAATAAAGTTTTATGTCAAAAAAGGAGTTTGGATAATCTTCAATGAGTGGAGAAAATTAGGCCGACCAGCGGCAAAGCTAATTTGTTTTCTAGGCGTAGAATGAACCATTATGTGATGGTTGGTAACGAGGTCATTCCATAGTTAAACAGAACCTTAGACAATAGGCTAAATTTTGTGCTTCCCGGTCCAGCCGCTCTAAAATAAACTATTACCTATCTTCGTACAAAAAAATGAAATTAGATTAAAACTAAATTTTCTTCTTGGGACTTAAAGCTCCCGTGAATAATTAAATTTGAATGCAACATATTTACAAAGATTGCAGCCTGGTAAGGTTGTATAAAAATGTACATTTACAAAAGTACATATAATTTTAAAATGTTCTAAGGTGATGGGTAGGAATTCATTTCCTAGCCATCATCTTAATATGTAGTTCCAAAAAATCAGGATGGACATAATCAAAAAATGAAATGCTCTAGAATGGCAATTAAAAATCTTCGGTGCCAAATTGTAAGGAATTTAAAAAACGGGTTTTAAATGTGGAAACGTTGGGCATGAAGCAGCGGATAAAGCCGCAAAACAGGCGATAGAACATGGCGATCAGGCTTTACTCCCCATGAGGATTTCATTCGCACTTGGAAAAAATTAGCGTGACGACGAGATTGGTATGGAAATAGAAATGCTAAAATGAGAGAAGTTAAACCCCAAGCCAAATCTTTGGGATCTTCTTTTCGATCCTCAAGACATGAAGAATCCGTTCTAACTCGTTTAAGAATAGGACACACGAGACTCACACATGGCCATATCATGGCCAAGGAAGATCCCCCTTACCTGTGTAATGTGTAACGTGCCCATTACTGTAAAACATATTCTCAGAGCCTGCAGAGCATGAGAGGACGAAAGGAAAAGTAATATGCCATACTGCTGCCTCTCAGAAATTCTAGGAGATAACACCATAACAATTGGTAGGCTGATAAGATTTCTAAAGAAAACTAATCTATTTTCAAAAATTCAAATTAGAAATCTAGCCATAATAGTGACATCATGCCAGACTTTTAAGGCGTAATTAACCCTTATGTCGGTTGACGTCTTTGTATGTATACATAAATTTTTATAAAAGTGGAAAAGGAATAGGCGAATAGAGTGAGGAAGGAATGATTGAGCGCAGTAGTTCTATGTTTAGGCGGATAGAAGCCAGAAAGTTTGAGTGGAGTGTAAAGAGGTCTGAAAATAAGATCATATATGTAAAGATGGGAATATCATTTGATAGAGGAAGAATCCAAAGTTGGAACTTGGTAGAAAGGGTAAAACCCCTTCAAATCGTTTTACACATCAGTCACGTGGGAGTCATAAGGAAGACGAAGAATCTACAAAATAATTCATTAGACGTTCAAGCTCATCTTCAAGCTCCCCAGTGAGTCTCGAACCCACCTAATCCGTAATCAAAGTGGTGGAGAAACGGGATAAAATGTCTGGCTCGACAGAACTGGTTGGAGGGTAAAAAAGCAGTAAGGAGTAATAAGGAAATATGGTTTATTTAAAAGGTGGGATAGGATGTAAGGTATGGAGGAGAGAAGTGGATCCAAACCCAATAGCCCGGAACTTTTCTACGTTTAACTTAAGCCCATTTTAAGAGGCCCAGGGGATAATTGAATCCTTCTGAATCCTTACATATGCAGCTTGTACATATGTCAGGAGGTGAGATGGAAAGGGGAATTTGAAAGACATCTGCATACAGGACCGAAAACCCACATAAATAGTCACGGCAGAAAACTGATAGCTTAGCTGATTTTACCTGCCTAGATGATACTTAAAAAAATGGCAATGTCCAGTAAGTATGCCTTTGAGGAAACGTAAGTCGTTTTTAAATAGATTGACTATGCTTTATTATTTACATGACACATTGAGTTTTGGTCGTTTTGCAAGTCTAACTGAATCACACTGATTTAAATTCCGTCCGAGGTCGTCATTTTGAGCTGAGGAAACGTAATATATATATATATTAGCCTTATAGCGAGCCTTGATTTTTTTTTTTTTAATTTCTTGACCTGTTATCTGGACAACCATGCTTCGGAAGATGATAACGTTTGAAAATGTTGGAAAAGTTCTAATCTATTGAGGTAACCCAGATCAGCAGAAGTCTCTTAATATTTATGATTTTTTAATATAACAACATTTACGATATTTTTTATGATATATTGACTTAGGAGTATGGGTTAGCAGTGCAAGTAATTTCCTGACAAATAACCTTTTTACTTTTTTCAAACTGCGTAGAGCTTGTATATATATATATATATATATAATTGTAATTATATTAGAAGCACCAAAAGCAACTGGTTCAATATTATACTTATATTCACTAATTTCGTGGTCCGCTTGACCAATTAATACATTACAATTAATTAAGGTTTTTAGTTGAGATAAAAAAGTCAATGGCACGAGCGGGATTCGAACACACGATCTTCGGCTAGATACGCCGCAGCTCTACCACTTGAGCTATCGTGACCTCGATCCACTCGGACACTAACTTCCCATCTCAATCCCACCTTTTTAATTTTGTCCGAGTGGATCGAGTGGTAGAGCAGCGGCGTTTCTAGCCGAAGATCGTGGGTTCGAATCCCGCTCGTGCCATTGACTTTTTTATCTCAACTAAAACTTTAATTAATTATATTATACTTATAAATTAAATAGATCTTTTTGGAGGAAAGTGAAGAAAACAAGGAGAAATTATAGCGTTAAATTTTCTTAGAAAAAATTTATAAAAAATGGAATAGTTGAACAAATTCATACCTTACTTCCAAGCGTATAGGCAAACTTTATGATTGCCCATGGTCTCGGTCCATTCAAAAATTGAATTAGTCTAGTTGAAGGAAAAACACTTGTATGGGTGTATTGGATTTAGAGCTAGAGTTGTCCAAGAACGTGGTGACGAAGTAGTTTAATAAATTTTGAGAATTAAAATTTGTGAGAATCGAAGTGTGGTATGTTTGTAGATGACCGAGAGAGGAAGTTAGGTAAGACTTTGCTTCATCATTGTGGCTAGGGTGAAACGCTTAGGATACTGCATTTGTATCTCATTATACAAATACAGTATCTCTGTATAGTGTATACAGCCATGGATTGGGTTGCGCATAGAGCGGATACCCTTATCTCTTAACCTCATAACTGAAATCAAGGGAAGCTATGAGAGAGGACTTTAAATAGAGAAAAATTCTTCAATGAGTGAGCACGTTTTCGATAAAGGGATTGAAAATAGACCAGGCCAGTCTACATCAGCTAAGTTAGAGAACTGTGCTTCTTTAATAAATATTTCAAATGAGCGAGCCTTGATTTTTTTTTTTTTAATTTCTTGACCTGTTATCTGGACAACCATGCTTCGGAAGATGATAACGTTTGAAAATGTTGGAAAAGTTCTAATCTATTGAGGTAACCCAGATCAGCAGAAGTCTCTTAATATTTATGATTTTTTAATATAACAACATTTACGATATTTTTTATGATAATATTGACTTAGGAGTATGGGTTAGCAGTGCAAGTAATTTCCTGACAAATAACCTTTTTACTTTTTTCAAACTGCGTAGAGCTTGTACACCTGGAATCTAGAACATAAAATTGATCTGCTGACACAGAAAAATATACATCATAATTTCCTGAGAGATTTGGAACATGTTTTATTTAGCGTTAGTTAAGGCTAGAGACTTTTTGTCTCAAATGTTTGACAAAATAGCAGTATTTTCACATTTACATTTTATTTGCTTTCGTCCTTAGTTATTGTGCCAATCGACTCAGGAGGGTAGAATCATTAGCAAACAATTACAAATAAGTGAAATTATTTTGCGTTTTTCTCGCTTATTTTAAGGTTTACGAGTTAATCTCGAGCAGCAGATGGCGCAGGAGGGTCGATTTTTTATGTATTATGATGATTT